AGATTTCAGATATATGTAAGAATAATAGAGTTGTAATAAAAGGGGATTTTAGTTTTCCAAACATTGACTGGGACTGCCACAGTGTTAAATGTTTGGATGGTGTGAATTTTGTTAAATGTGTTCAAGATTTTCTTTAACAATATGTAAATATTTCTACTAGAGAAGGGAGCAAAACTTGACCTTCTCTTAGGAAATAAGGCAGGGCAAGTGACTGAAGTGTTCGTAGGGGAACACTTTGGGACTAGAGATCATAATTCTATTCATTTTAAAATAGTAATGGAGTAGACTGTCCACAGGTAAAGGGATGACTGATAAATGAGAAGCTTTCAAAAGTGTGATAGCAGTTCAGAGGCATTATGTTCCTGGTAAAGTGAAAGATAAGGCAACTAAGATGAGGGAACAAGATGTTGAGGTTCTAGTTAAGAATAAAAAAGAATCATATATTAGATATAGACAACTGGGATCAAATGGATCTCTTGAAGAGTATAAAAAGTGTAGGGGTGTTCTTAAGAGGGAAATCAGGAAGGCAAAGAGGGATATGAGATAGCCTTGACAGATAAGACTAAGGATAATCCAAAGAGATTCTACAAGTTTTAAGAGCAAAGAGCAACTAGAGAGACAGTAGGGCCCCTGAAAAATCAATGAGGTTGTCTTTGTGTTGAACCTCAGGAGCTGGGGAGACATTAAATTAGTATTTTGCATCAATATTTACTGTGGAGAAAGAAATGGAGGCTAGAGAATGCAGAGAAATAAATACTGATGTTTTGAAAACAATTCACATTACAGCAGAGTAAGTGCCTTTATTTAAGAAAGCACGTAGGAGAAGCCTGGGAACTATAAACCTGTGAGTGTGACATCGGCGATGGATAAGTTGTTGTAAGTGATTCTGAACGATAGGATTAACGTTCATCTAGAGAGGCAAGGAATGATTAGGGACAGTCAGCATGGTTTTGTGAGAGAGAAGTCGTGTCTCACAAACTTGATTAAATTTTTTGACTAAGCAACCAAGAAGATTGATGAGGGCAGAGTGGTAGATGTTGTTTACTTGAACTTTAGTCAAGCGCTTGATAAGGTTCTGCGTGGTCGACTATTTAGTAAAGTTAGATCACGTGGGATTCAGGGTGAGCTTGCTGATTGGATACAACATTGGCTTTAGAGTAGGAGACAAAGCGTGGTGGTGGATGGTTGTTTTTCAGACTGGAGGCCTGTGCCCAGCAGTGTTCTACAGGGATCGGTACTGGGTCCACAGTTATTTGTCATTTATATAAATGATTTGGATGAGAATATAGGAGGCATGGTTAGTAAGTTTGTGGATGATACAAAAATTGGTGGCACAGTGGACAGTGTAGAAGGGTATCTAAGATTACAAAGAGATCTTGATCAATTGGGTCAGTGGGCTGAGGCAGATGAATTTTAATTTGGATAAATGTGAAATATTGACTTTTGATAAAACAAACAAGGGTAGGATTTATACAATTAATGGTAGGGCCTTTGCAAGAGTTGTAGAACAGAGAGACCTAGGGGTTCAGGTGCTTAATTTTTTGAAATTTACATCACAGGTAGACACGGTGGTTAAGAAGGTGTTTAGCGCTCTTGCCTTCATTGCTCAGACCTTTAAGTACAGAATTTGGGATATCATGTTGAAGTTATACAGGACATTAGTCCAGGACATTGGACATTCCTCTTCTGGAATACTGTGTGCAGTACGGATTGCCCTGTTATAGGAAGGATATTATTAAACTGGAGAAAGTTCAGAAAAAAATTCACCAGGATGTTGCTGGGAATGGAAGGTTTGAGTTATAAAAATAGGCTGGATAGACTGGAACTTGGTTCACTGGAGCATAGGAGGTTGAGGAGTGACCTTATAGATGTTTATAAAATCATGATGGGCATAGATAAGGTGAATAACAAAAGTCTTTTCCCTAAAGTTGGGGAGTTCAAAACTAGGGGGCTTATTTTTAAACTAAGAGGAGAAAAGTTTAAAAAGGACATGAGGGGCAACTTTTTTTTACACAGAGAATGTTTAGTGTGTAGAATGAACTACCAGAGGAAATGGTGGATGCAGATATGGTTAGAACATTTAAAAGACATTTGGCTATGTACATGAATAGGAAAGATTTGGAGGAATATGAGCCAAACACAGGCATGTGGGACTAGTTTAGTTTGGAAACATTATTGGCATGGACTAGTTGGACTAAAGGGTCTATTTCCATGCTGTATGACTCTATAACTGCTGAAGGAAATATAAACTCGTTTTCTTGAAGTCGAAATTGGGTTTTGACTGCAGAGAACAGCAAGGCAGCTTCTGAGCTGGTGGAGATTTGATCACTTTTGTCTACCTTGTTCCTAGCACGAGCTATTCAGTTATCTGAGAATAAATCACATGGTTATTGGCACACAAAAGGCCTCTGTCACTGATAACTGGTCACTCGTCCATAGGCTAATCCACTTCTTTTGCCACTTAGAGCTCCATCTGAATAAAGAACCCATTGGCTCCAGTTGTCTGCAATGTTCAATAACTGCTTGTTCAAGCAGCTGTTGAAACAATACTTTCTAAGAGTATCAGCTTGAGGTAGATTTATAAATTCAGAATGAGTTAGAGTTATGAGAAAAATTCTAAGAGGCATCAAGAAGATTTAGTCAAGTTGAGTGAGTGAGTGAGCAAATACTTGGCACATGTAGTACAACATGGCTAAATATTAAGTTATGCTCTTTGGTGTGAAAAAAAAAACAGAAAGGAAGGGTATTTCCTAAATGGGGACACATTGGGAAGTGTTGATTTGAATGTCCTTGTACGCCAGTCAATGAAAGTAGGCTCATGCTGCAAGCAATTAGGATGGCAAATTGTATATTGGCCTTCATTGCAAGAAGATTTGAGGTTAGAAGTAGGGATCCCTTACAGCAATTATACAGGACCTTGGTGAAACCGCATCTGGAGCATTACATGCAGTTTTGGTTTCTCTACATAAGAAAAGATATACTTGCCATAGACAAAGTGCAGCAGATGTTCATTGGACTGATATAGGGGATGACTGGACTTCTTATGAGAAGACATTGGTTCAACCTTCCCTGTTTTCACCAGGGTTTAGAAGGATGAGAGGGGATTCAATTGAAACATATGAAATTTGAAAAGGATTGGACAGACTAGATGGAAGGAGGCTGATTCCCTGGCTGGGGAGTCTAGAACCAGGCTATGCCATCTCAGAATATTTAGGACTTCAAGATTGAGATGAGGAAAACTTTCTTCACTCAAAGGGTAGTGAATCTGTGTAATTCTCTCAATGGAAGTCTGTGGAGGTTAAGTCACTAAATATATTCAAGAAGAACACAGATTTTAAAAGCATCAAAGGGCACAGCGAAAATGTGAGAAAATGGCACTGAGATAGAGCATCAGCGATGGTCATATTGAATAGTGGAGCAGGCTCAAAAGGGACAAATAGCCTACTCCTGCTCCTAGTTTCTCTGTTTCTATGAGACTTTACAGCTGATTGTGATGGAGCCTCACTAGTTGGTTTTTCAAACTAAAATGACCATTCATACATAAGGTGCAGAGCTGGATGA